GCAAGTAATAATGCTTTATTTCAAAAATACCAATTAGAATTGACTCAATAATATTACATGAGTCACCTAAAAAGGGGAATCCATAGCTGTGTATTGTATTTTTTTCTCATCAATTGAGGAACAGCTAAAGTCTTTAACCTTCAGGGTATATTGCCACCTACAAGAGGATTGGACACTGGCAAAAAAGCCTGTATGTCAGCGCAGGGTAAATCCTCTTACTACCAGCATTCCTCATTTTTTGCTAGTGACCTAGGAGGATGGATGTCTTCTTCAGCTCTGCTGTGTAAAAAGATAATCCTATTTTTTGCTAGCACTTTTGTATTCTTTGATTTTTTTAATTCTTTAATGAAGATTCTCCTCTACATCACTGCTAGAACTTGTATCTACATTTGAAGTTACACAGTACAGTAGTCCTCCGCGCTGGCATTTGGAGCCCATCAGAATGGACGTTTAAGGGTTTTGCTTGGGATGCTTGCCAGACTCAGTTCTGGTAAGTTAGCTGCAGAACACATTCCAAAGCCACTGGCATTGCCTCAGAGCATGCCCTGCCTCTGAAGACCCCCTTAGTAAGTAGGCCTGTTGAGCCTTGTTGTCATCTGCTGGGTGGAGTGTCATGTTCTCTCCACATGGAAGAAAAATATATTTGAAAAAAAATGTTAAAAATATTCTTCCCAAGTATATTGACATATATTTGAAATGCTACAATTTTGGCCATATTCTATATAACTATAACTATATATATATATATATATACTGTATGTTGAAATGTGTTTTTATATATTACAAAATATATGAAAAATATTTTTAAAAATATATATTTTTTAAATATATTCTTCAGATTTTTTAACATATAAAAAAGTCATTTTAACATATATGTTTACATATATTTTTAAATGCATTCCAAAAATGTAGATTTGTATTTTCAAAGACATACAGTATATTTGAAATGTATTTTAAAAAAAATATGTTTCATATATTTTGTAATAAAAAACTCATGTTAAAATATATTTTTCTTCCATATGGGTCTTTTCTCCCATACAGCACTGAGGAAGCATCTCCTGGCTGCTGCTCATGCTTACAAGGAGCCATTTGGAACTTTAATGTTTGATCCGTTCCTGGTGCCCACTTACAGTGACTTTGGTCACATTCAGCTATCCAACCCTCATCCATTACCAGCTATCCAGGTTTCATGAGTCCCCATGACCTTATCTCATACCAGGAGCCTATGCTGCAACACAGTTGCAACATGTCTAATTCAAGACATATAGGGAATAGCGATGCCCCAAATTTACACTTTGCTAGCCTCTTGAGCGCTGCTTGCAGTGTGCCTACTAATGTCTGCAGCCTAGAGTCATGTTGTCTTCTGGAGTCTATTCCATCCTTAGAGTTTTCTTTAGCTCCATCAGTTTTGACAACATCTTCTGCTGAGGTTTTTACAACAGCCATGTGCCATGAAGGCTGTTCCCGTCTGCTAGATCACCCAAAATCGGACATGATATTGAGGAAAATCATTATGTTGCTACATGTAGATGAAGCAGGTGAGCTGGAGAGTCATCAAAAATGTATGAACTAAAACTGGCTATGCATGTGTGTTTAAACAACAGATATCACTTAATTCCCCATCTAGGCTAAACCACATAAATTAACAAATCTGCAAGCACTTTGCTATCTGCTCGAGCGCTGCTTGCAGTGTGCCTACTGATGTCTGCAGCCTAGAGTCATGTTGTCCTTTGGAGTCTAATCCATCCTTAGAGTTCTCTTTAGCTCCATCAATTTTGACTACATCTTCTGCTGAGGTTTTTACAACAGTCAAGCAAGACTTTATGGACCAGCAACTCAGTTATTTGCTGACTTGCAGAGACTACAAGCGTTCTCCTGTGCACTCTTTCACAGATTCTTTATCTGATTTGCCAACGGTCTTAACATCTTCCAAGCCATTGGCTGCAGAAACTTTGTCTGGCCTTGAGTCACTCCAGTCCTTCATTGATGAGTTTACCCCTGAGGAGTCACAGTCTACTCCTATTACTCCCAAATCAAATGAGACCTTCTCAGGTCTTATTGATGCAGCGTGCACAACTCTGTAACTAGAGGATCAGCCTGTTGCTTCTACCAGTGCTATTTCCAATATTGGGTCTTTAACATTTCTAAGGCCGTAAAGACTTAGAAGGCAGAATGGTTTCAAGGGCTTACCCCAACCTGTTCAGCATTTCCCAACCTGTTCAGCATTTCCATACCCAAAGAGGGCATCCACCCCATCTTAGATCTCAAACCCCTGAACATCTTCATTTCAACCCAGAATGCAACATTTAATATACCAAATCGGTTATTGCTTCATGTCACCACGGAGACTTTCTGGCTTCTCAGACATAAGGGATGCATACCTATATATCCAGGACCAGCATTGTTTCTAAGAACTACCAAGGGTCAGGTTTCTGCCTATTCTATCCTGTTTCAGAGCCTACTGGCCTCCCACTCCTCGATCTAGGCCTTTTTACAGGGGTTCTCTTATGTATTTCCCCGTTGATTTGTGGAATCTGAGCTTATTAGAGATATTTCTCTCCGTACTTTCAGCCACAAAGTGGTATTGAATGTAGTCATCATCTCTGCAAAGCAAGTGTCTTAACTGGCTGCAGGATTATCCTGCAAGGAACCCTTACTGGTTTTTCATAAGGACAAGGTGGTGTTTAGACCCTGGGCTTCCTTCTTTCCTAAGGTAGTTACTGACTTTCACCCCAACCAAGACATTGTACCTCTGTCTGGTACAAGTTCACCCAAAGGAAATTTACCTCTAATGTCTGGATGTGGTACGGGATGTGGGAATCTATCTCTCAGATACTTCTGCTTTGAGAAAGATGGCTTTACTTCAAAAAGTTGCTCCAGCTTTCTGTTCTACAATTTTTAGATGACTCAGGCAGACTATCATTCAAGTTTATGTTCTCAATGATCAGGTTGCACCCTCACCTGTTTGGACATACATTATTAGAACTGTGAGTGCTGCTCTGGAGCTCCTTGGCATCAGTCCACTGTTTGCTAGATTTTCAAAGCTGCCACCTGGTCTCTATTCACACATTATCTAAGTTCTGTCAGGTGGATGTTTCTGCCTCATCTGGTGCCAACTTCAGGAATAAGATCCTTAAGGTGGCTCTTTGAGTAGCAGGCAGTATCCAGGTCTCTGTTGTTTTCTTGGGCCTGTTAGCATTTGTTACTGTGTTGCCCACCCCTCATCGGGCTGCTTTGGATGTCCCAAAGGTTAAATGCTTTCTGTCCCTCAATGACCTAGAAAGAAAATGGGATGTATGTACCCAAAATTCTTTTCTTGGAGTCCTTTGAAAGCAGGTCCCACACTCCTGGGTTTATGATCATGCGTTCGATACTGCTTTACTGCAAAACCGAGGCATGCTGGTAGTAGAAGTAGTTATCCTGGGCTAATCTGCAATTTCTTTGTGTGGCAGTGTCCAGTCCTCCTGTAGACAGCAGAATAACCAACCCAGACTTCCTGTGTCCATCCAATATAAGGATTTTATGGTATGTACAACAAAAGCCTCTTTATGCTTGCCCTAGTCATATTCTGATTGATAAGCATGTGTTCATCCCTTGATAAGTCTAGGTCTCCGCACTGGACTCCATGATGTCTGAAGGAGATGCCGGAGGGAGTCGGAATGCCTGTTTTGCTCTCACTTGCCTAGCTACCAGCCAGGCTGGCCACCAGCACATCCTGAAGAGTGAATGTTTCCCTCACATTTTGGATACTCTCTGTCACCTCTTGCAGTCTGCAGAACAGGAGTCCTGCTGGTTTGCAGCTATGTACGTAGTAGAATTCCAGTTCTGGTTGGGGGATTCTGTGTTTGTGTTTAGTACTTCCAGGAACAAGGAAAAAATGCTGCCTACTAGGAGACAACAGATCTTTCAATGAATATAAATGTCAGAACTGTTTTCAACACAGACCATACCTTAGGCGCCTGGCTGTTTGAATAACAGATCATTTGCATTGGAAGGGATTTTGTGTGAGGCGTCAGATCTGGGTTTGCTAAGGTTTATTGCCTCTTCAGAGGAAAAACTTTCTCCTAGTAACATGAGGACATAAAGTGATAGAAAAAAAAATTGTATGGAATTGGGCTTAAAATAGATAGGGGGTCACAGAGCACAGATGTGTGTGTGGGGCCTTAAACCATACTGTGATCACTAGTCAAACACAAATAGAAAGTCCACCAATTTAAAGTATCAGTATGGGCAACAAGCAGCAACTTTTAATATCAGAAAAATTCAACTAAAAAACTTCCCAGTTCCCAGAAAATTGTGGGCACAGTATGCTGTTTTGTGAAAATTTGATCTTAAACTTTATCTTCTTTGTAGAACCATAAAGATGCTATCCAAGTATCCTCCTGGTGTAGTGCGACTCCGCCAACATCCATCTCTGGATGCTGTTCTTAAAGTAAGTTATTGCTATGCTTTACAGCTAAGATTATGATTTTCTGAACTCTCTCCATCTGCAACAGTTGGATGTGTCCTGTGACACCTTATGCATTGCCTTGTGGGACGAGCACAGCTACGAACTAAACAAAATCTCATTACTGGGCACATAAGAATGAATTACTTCTCTGATCATAACTGTCAGTAAGCAGTATATTTCAAATTTGAAAGGAATATAAACCTAGGACCTTAGTGCTGCAATGCAAAAATTGTAACAGAACTCTGTGATGAGAGAAAATGACACTTAAAGAGTAATTCCACTTTTGTTGAAAAACAAAACAGTCACTACTGTGTGATCTACATTGATTGCACTGCAAGGATTTAACCACCTCCCGCCCCACCATATAAGGAAATGACGGGTGCAAGGCGGTTCTCTAGTTCTGGGAGGACGTCATATGATGTTCTCCCACTCTAACCGCGCGTGCGCGGCTCCGGGAGCGTGCAGCACGGCGATCAGTGGTACGCTGTGTCCCTCGGACACAGAGGATCATCGATCAACGGAAAGAGCTGAAGATGTCGGCTCGGTCATGTGATCAACTGTGTCCAATCACAGCTGACCGCATGTAAATAGGGAAATGCCGGTTATCGGCATTTCTCTCCTCACGAGCTGTCATGCTGACAACTCATGAGGAGAGAAGAGCTGGTAATCGGCATTCCTCAGAGGGAACATGTACACTGATCATCAAGGCACTGATGATCAGTGTGCCCTGATGATCAGTGTAGCCCCAGCAGTGCCACCTGTCAGTGTCCATCAATGCCAGCTGTCAGTGCTCATCAATGCCACCTGCCAGTGCCCATCAGTGCCTCTTCAATGTCTATCAGTGCCTACCAGTGCACATCAATGCCACATATCAGTGCCCATCTGAGCTGCCTTTCAGTGTCACCTGTCAGTGCCAATCAGTGCCGCCTATAAGTGCATATCAATGCCGCCTATAAGTGCTGCCTAACAGTTCCAGTCAGTGCCACCTAAACGTACCAGTCAGTGCCACCTAACAGTGCCTGTCAGTGCCGCCTGTCAGTGCCAGTCAATGCGCCTATCAGTGCCACCTATCAGTGCCATATATGAGTGCTGCCTTTCAGTGCCCATCAGTGATGCCTGTCAATGCCCATCCGTACCACCTACCAGTGCCTCCTCATCAGTGCCCATCAGTGGCACCTATCAGTGTCCATCAGTGCAGCCTATCAGTGCCCATCACTGCAGCCTCATTACCGCACATCAGTGAAGGAGAAAAATCACTTATTTGCTAAATTTTACAACAAAAACTAAGAAAAAACTTTTTTTTTTTTTAATTTTCAGTTGTTTTTGGTTTGTTTAGCAAAAAATAAAAACCCAGAGGTGACTAAATACCACCAAAATAAAGCTCTATCTGTCTCAAAAAAAATGATAAAACATTTCATATCGGTACAGTGTTGCATGACCGCGCAATTGTCATTCAAAGTGCAACAGCGCTAAAAGCTGAAAATTTGCCTGGGCAGGAAGGGGGTATAAGTGCCCTGTAGGTAAGTGGTTAAACAAACTTTCCAGCAGATTCCTACTTGATTATTTTCCATACTTAATAAAAAGTTGTATTCTCTACTATGTCCCTGGAAGTCTGGTTCCCGAATGGTAGTGTCCAGGGGCGGACTGACCATTTGGAAACTCTGGCACTGCCCGAGGGCCCGGGGTCAGTACGGGGCCCCATGAGATGCCCCTGGTACCTTTTTCATAGGTTTTTTTGAGTTTGGGCAAGGACACAAGGGCCCATGATCCCCTATTGCCCTGGGGGCCCCATGAGTTGTCAGTCCGCCCCTGGTAGTGTCTGTGTTCATTCTAATCACTTGCCATCTTCTAATGAAGAAAGTTGCAGTGTCTGCATCCCTTTATAAGTACTTTACCCTTAGGAAGTATCTAACCAAAAAAAGAATATCTATTGCAGAGGATGGCTAACATGTCCCTTGCATATTAGTGTAGGGTTCTGGGAAAATCAGTGAAACAATCACAAAAGAAGGAAATGACATTTCTAGGGAAGTTCCGTATACCAACTGTGTACAGAATGCCTCCAGGTTTCCATATTTCTTTGAACGTTACAGAAAATTACAGCAGCTGCAGATTGAAAATGAAAGGTAAATTTTAAATCACATTAAGCTACAATATGGCTTGTGTAGCAGTATGATATATTAAATTTATCTAAATTCACAGCGCTGTGCTATGTAATCCACCAATAACTCATAACTCAAACACCATAATAAACATTAAAGTGCCTAAGTTAGATAAAAAGTACTCAGTGTCCAAATTATACAGTTTTATACGAAACTGTATAATTTGAACACTGAGCAGTTTTATATAATTTAGACACTTTAATGTTTATCATGATGTTTGAGTTATGATTTATTGGTGGATTACATAGCACAGCGCTGTGAGTTTAGACATATTTGGCTTTAGGGTTATAGAATTGTATAACCGCAGCAATCCAGTGTTAAAGGCACATAGCACTTTTTATAGTATATTAATTTTTTTAGATCCGAGTGCGGGTTTGAAGTGAATATATGCTATATTATTTTTTTTTTTTAATTGTTGTATATTTTTCCATGAAAGTGGAGTTACCCTTCTCTAGGCAGATATAAAACACAAAAATGAATCATTAATTGATCAATAAATGTATGTTTTTAAAACAAAAGCACTGCATGTAGGTATTTGAATTTGACCTGTTATCAGCTGTGTACAGTCATTGTACAGCAGGGCTAAAAAATTAGATGAAGAAGCAGTATAAGGAGCTGACTAGAAGCATTCGGATTGAAGTGGAAAGCAGAGTGACAGAGAGATAAGCTAATCACTGCGCTGCTTCTTTTTCACTATCCAATCACAGGCTGCGGTGGGTCCAGGATGACCTGAGCTCAAAGGGAGTGGGTTAAAATGATTTTGGCCGTCAGGCTGAGGACATCCAGTCACAAAAAAAATACTGTGGTTGAAACCTCTGGATTTAAGCTACATGTGGCAGACAAAGCTGGTTTTATTTTACCTTGTAATGGACTATTCTTTTTTTTGTATTGTTTTTTTTTGGTTGGAGTTCCGATTTATAGTATTTTTGCTTTGGATATAGTGAGGAAGAGAACGCTGCCAAGTTTTTACTGTTACAGGCATTAAACAAAAATCTGAGAGACACTGCAATACAAATGCTGGCAGGGGTTCTAGTATTCCCCTATTCTACTTTAAATACAATATGTACATATATACAGTAATTATCTCTGTTGCTCTAAGAAATTTTCCCTCATTCCTGTCAAGTGAAACCATTGCACTGTGACAGTAAAGGGGGAATAAATCTCTATATCAGAACCCCAGATGACAGTAAAATTTGACAGGGGTTCCTATTCTTTTTATCTCTATCCAAAGCTAAAAAAAAAAGTTTTGTTTGGACATTCACTTTAATTTGTAATTAACTGGGTAGATTCTAGTATGTTACTGAAAGATATATATATATATATATATATATATCATATATCATATATATATATTATATGTTTTTGTTTTTAAAAACATTGTGTACCCTGCCGTCCACACATCTCATGGACATATCACTAAATATTTTGCTCTGTAGAGATGACAAACCTTTCTTCAAGCTATTATTGCCATTAATCAAAACATGAAAGGTTGCAGATGGTTGAACTAGAAATATTCGCCATCCATGAGATCACCATTTGTGTCTCGGTTAGTCAACCAACAATGACTGGAAATATATCATCCCAGACCAATATATTTTGTGTAATCTTTTGTCTAGTAGAGTCACTATAGTAAGAGCAGTAAAATGGCCCACTGCCCACCCCTTACCCCCCTAGTGTCTACGGTCACCATGGAAAGGTGTCCCATAAATATTTTACTGGCAATTCTGCTGTCACTGGGGATTCTGAGTAGGGCTACATTGTGAGTAATGGAGGACCTGTCACCATGGATATGGTTGCTATGGTTGCTTGAAAAGGCAGCGACTGCGAACTGGACATCGAAGATAAGTTCAAGTAACTGGCGGTCTGACAGATATCAAAAAGTGTTTTATGGGAAAGGCAAAACAAAATAAAATTGTGAAATACCCACAATACTGCTGCTTCGGCTCTAGATCATATGATCAGGAAGCAGTCATTTTATTCATGGCAAGTAAAATCTATTTTCTTTTTTCTTTTAACAGTGCGATTAGTTAATATGCTGACATAAACTCTGGGTTCACATCAAATTCCTGCCATCTTCCAGTGAACAAAAATGGGCAGCACAGTGGCTAAATGGTTAGCACTTCTGCCTGGCAGTACTAGGGTCATTGGTTCGAATCCCAACCATGGACCACCTGCCTGGAGTTTACATGTTCTCCCTGTGCCTACGTGGGCACAGGGAACTCCAGTTTCCTCCCACACTTCAAAGACATGCTGGTAGGTTAATTGGATCCTGTCTAAACTGGCCCTAGTATGTGTATGTATGAATGTGAGTTAGGGACCTTACATTGTATGCCCCTTGAGGGTTAGGGACTGATATGTATAATATATAAAGTATGTAAATTGACAGCGTAATAAAAGTACCTGAAATAAAAAAATAAATGAGGAAATGTTTTTACCCACGGCTGTTATATGAGTCCCTTTCCAGTCACAAACTTTGACTGGCAAGCTCACCATGAGTTCCCATTCAAACACAAGTAAGTCAGTCAAAGAGGACTGAAGAGACAACATAGTTACATAGTTATTAACCAGCCAGTCATCAGTCAGGGAATCATCACATGGACCATATTGGAGATCTGTGGTGTGCTGGCGAATATGTATGTTTGCTTAGGGAATAGAATACATCGCCTAGTGGTGCTTCTGGTGATACCCGAGTTCCCAGTCTGTCATAGGTGAGTGAGACTGACCACTGCATAACCAGAGAAAACTTCAATTTGCTCAGAAGACTGTCAGGCATGGATTCCCCAATATATATTAACTTATAGACTTAAATACTTGCTACATGGGAAAATTAGCAGGTAATGGCTATTGTACACCTTTAAAATAAAGTGATATGTGTTGTTTGTAGCAGCTATTTTATGGTAATTTGCTTAGTGTTTGTAGCGTTTACCTGTTGTTATATGCACTATACATCTGTTCAGCATTAACATTTGTGCATCAGAATGTTGCAGCATCACGCACAGCTGGAACAGAGTTGTTGGAAGAAGTAGAAATGACGATACAGAACCTCCAGCGCCTCCCCCGGCCTGCTCCTCCTATAGCAAAGATCCTGGAGTCTGGCTCAGTAATGGTGGGTTGGCAGGACTATATTCCCCGCAGTGGCCTTCCCCTCACTTATAGGTGAGCAATTGTTTCCAAATATGTTTCTTCATCATTGTGATGTCTAGTAAAGCTGTACAATGGATAGACAATATGCCATGAATCCATCAAACTAGTTAAGGCAGTATGGACACTATGCAGCAATTTGCACTTAATTCACCTTTCCTTTCCTTTCCTTCCTTCTTACTCCTTTTCTATTCCCTCTTACTTCCCTCCTTTCCTTTTTTTTTCCCTGTTCCTTTTCCTACCCCATACCCTTGTCCTTTTCCCTTTCCTTTCTTTCTCTTTCCTTACTCCTTTCTTTTCTCCTTTCTCTTTCCTTTCTCCTTTCCTTTTGCTTTCCCTTCTGTTTTCCTTTCCTTTCTGTTTTCCTTTTGCTTTCCTTTCTGTTTCCCTTTCGCTTTCCTTTCTCTCTTCTTCTCCCTTTCCTTTGTATTTTCCTCTCCCTTTCCTTTGTCTTTCCTTTCTCTTTTCCTTTCCCTTTCCTTTCTCCTTTCATTTCCTTTATCTTTTCCGTGCCTTTCTCTTCCTTTTCCTTTCCTTTCCTTTCTCTTTTTCTTCCCTTTCCTTTCTCTTTTCCTTTCCCTTTTCCTTTTGCTTCCCTTTCTGTTTTCCTTTTGCTTTCTTTACTCTTTTTCTCTCCCTTTCTTTTCTGTTTTCCTTTTGCTTTCTTTACTCTTTTTCTCTCCCTTTCTTTTCTCTTTTCCTTTCCCTTTCCTTTCTCTTTTCCTCTCCCTTTCCTCTCTTTTTCCTCTCCCTTTCCTTTCTCTTTTACTTTCCTT